GCTCATTACAAGTTGGCTCAAACACTATAAATGCAAATGAAAAAAAATTCTATCATTTGCTTTAATGACAATACCAAAAAGTAATATATTTGTTTACTTTTCAAATAAAAATGTGTCAACTATATGATGGGGCATGTCGACAAAATTTGCTACTAGATGTCCATGGTTTGAAATCACAAAACACGTTAACAAAAATTAACAATAATAGACTAACTTTGGCAACAACATATGACCTACAAGAATTTTAAAAAAAAAAGGTTGACAAGAGTTCTTAGAACTAAATGTATTTTTTTGTCCTTTCATAACACATCCCATATCTTGATAATGTAAGAAATTTTAAAATGAAACTTTGCCTCCATTCATACTAAAATTTTATTGGGCTTGAAAGTTTTATGTAAATTTCTAGGGAAATATGATGATACAAGAAATTATATATGTAGTTTTGTTGCCCAGCTAATGTTATAAGTTGTGTAAATGTAAGTTCATTCATGCACATCTAAACTCTAGTTCATGAATCCATGTAGGCAATTATTAAATACACACAAAGTATGAATGTGCCATATAAACTCAAGTGTGACTCTATTTAATATATATTATATCTTTGATATTTAATATTATTGATAATGGATAAATAATTTAAAATATTTCATCTTATGGTGTAGTTAAGTTAGCTAATGGGTCATCATATATGCTAGTTGTATCCCATTAATGTATTATGTAAATTGCTCAAATGAAGTCATTGTTTGATATTGTTACATTAACTACTGCAATATTATCAAACACAAGTTGTCATACTAACTAAAAACTTGATAGTCCACCATTAACATGAAATTCAATATCATCATTGTGTTATGCATTTTCATTTGAATCTTGACTCAAACTATTATTATTGTATTATATGCATTCAAAGGAGTACTTAAGCGTGCATTCAATGATAGAGGGTGGTTTGTTAGTTCTGCATAAGTAAATGCACTTCTTACATGAGGGAAATATACATTCCCATTTATTAGCACTATCCCCAAATATCCGTCGACACATGTGTCAATCTACATAATAATTATATTTAAAATTATATATTTAATTATAACAATATAATTATGTTTGCCAATAAATCATAATCTAATTTTTTCTAACTTGGATCATTGGCTCATTTAAGTATAATAGTATATGAAATAATTTTTAATGTTTAAATTTAAAGTTTCTATTGTGAAGTCTTTACTTAAATTGTAAAAAACCTAGTTATCTTCATTGTCACATCTAATTTCACATTTTTTCTATAAATCTCCATTCTTATTTTCTTAACTATACTATTTTAACTAATTAAATTTGATCTTTTTGTTCTTAAATAGGATGAAATGAATTAAATCCTTAAACATCACGCATAAACATTGCACTCTACATAAATCAAAATGGGGCACTCAAAGTAGAACACTTCTTGTCGCAAAGTTCATAAATAAATTTGTGAACTAGAAAAACAAAAATATAATTTTTATAGGACTCATTTATGCTTATTTATTTACATAATTGAATAATTTTGAATAATTTTTTAAGAGTTTGTTATATAAATTATAAGTTTTTACGCCAATCCTCTTATTCATTTATATGTGTGAGGATGTTTGTTTGTCTTTTAATTACTAGTTTATTAAATATTGAACAAAATAAAATTTTAATGTCATATAATTGGTTAATTCATGGCTATTCATTTATAATTTTTTTTTTATAATTTGTACATATTTTAAATATCATATGTATAAACATACTAAATATATGAAACAATTAACAAGATTTATAGATTCAAATATTTTCTTAGTAATATTTGAACTAGACTAAACAACTCAAGTAAACCTTGTGATATATGCAGTTTTTATTAAATTTTATGCATTTAAATATGTCAAGTAATAAGGTTACATGTTTATGTCAATAACATCAAATAAGAAATTAGTTGGACTGAATTATAACTTAATGCAGTTAAAAAAGAACAGATAAGTTGGGATGACATTTTTGAATACAACACCTTTGAGGAAACATGTAGATCAGGCCTATCTAATATCATCAACACATGGAAATTGTAGTTATGAACTCAAAGATTAAAATAGTCTCTAAATGAAAAGGGGACTTTTGAACATTAAAAAAAGGGTCAAAATTACAAAAGTGAAAGAAAATAAAATCAAAATTCATAAGAAAAAAAAATGCTTAAATGAAATACAAATAAGATCTCAGCACTATCCCAAAGTTATGTAGATAACTAAATATAAAAAAAAGGTCAAAAAGGCACATGCTTAATACAAAAATGACATTTATGTTAATTAACCATCTCAAATTGCATGAGATATTTCATCATGATACCTGAAAATCATAGAGATATACATTACACTACATGATTAAGCCACTCATGTACAACTTTATCTCATCATTGTTCATAAAAAAAAAAAAAAAGAAGAAAACAAAAGAAAAACTAGCTCAAAAAGAGTCTCCTCACAATATATAGAAAAATAAATTAGAAAAAATAAAAATAGCATCCAATTCCTCCAAAATACCTCAGTAAGCATTCTTTAATCCAATATAAGCAAAATATAAATGATTGAGGGAAGGAGCTCACAACATAGTAATCACATAAACTATAATCAAACTTTAATGGCATAGGAGGTTCCATAATCCTCAAAAGTCATAAGGAAGTGAATCATCTTCCACACCCAATGAAACAATCTGATTCATGCAAAAAATATTGAAAAAGTAACATCAGATAATTCAATTGCAATCTCTTTTTTCACTTTTTAGTTGGACAACAAAATAAATTTTCTTCTTCAAATTATTTATTATAGAGGAACCATTTTAAATATGTTAATTAATAACTTTACAATAAATACTATTATAATCAAGGTTCAGAAAAATAAATCAGAGATTGAACTGTTAGAAGATGAGGTTCAAGGTTTAACTGTTGAACGAGATGATGTCATAAATATAAAAAAAAAATATTAAACATAACTTAAAAGACATAAAAGTTAGATGAAATTCAGCATGGAAGATTAAAAAGAGGGAAAAATAACCAAGAAAATATAAGAGCATAAAAAAGAGAAGGTAATAGACTAATAGTCATGCATACATCACAAAAGATAAAGAAGAAAAGATGCTGAGAATGACTAGAGTAAAACACATTATTCATTATATCAAAAGATTAAAACCATTCTTCATGATTTTCAATAAAAATGTGACGTAAGATAAAAAATTGTACTTTAATCGGTTGACTGGTTCGACTGCTGATTCCAGCCAGTTGACCGATTCTTTCCAATTTGATGCAGAGCCAGTTATCAACCCAACCAGAACCAGACCACCAACTGGTTCATGATCGAACCAGTTGAATGACTAGTTCGGTCCGATTTTTAAATTGTTGGTTATAATGAATCAAAATATGAGAAAATAATGCAACCCCACCAAATGTACAAGTCATAAAAATACAAAATTGAAAATCTAATAATTAATATTTTGTCCCGGAAACTAAGGCTTCGTATGAACATGTGTTTAGCGCCGTTCCACTCTACAATAAAACAAACAAAGCATAAATGTTCCGTCTCACAAATAAATTTTTTGGAATTCATTTCCCATCACAACGACATTTCTTTCGTCTCAGAATCGCGAATATGACGCGACATTATGAAATGTGACTTTTAAAAGAACTTTTTTCTACAATGAAGTGCCATCAAACGGGCCCTAATTCTAAAATAGTGAGATGTCACATCCTTTCCTTTTGTTTTTGAAAGTGCACTATTGAAATACAAAATATGTGCACATCAAAATATCAAAGTCAATATTTCAAAAGTTGGGAGTTTTCATGTCTACAAATTTAGTTTATAAAGAACCTAAAACTTTATAAATATCCTTATTTTAAATCTCAATTACATCAAAGTAGACGAGCCCTAATTCTAAAATAGTGAGATATCACATCCTTTCCTTTTGTTTTTGAAAGTGCACTATTGAAATACAAAATATGTGCACATCAAAATATCAAAGTCAATATTTCAAAAGTTGGGAGTTTTCATGTCTACAAATTTAGTTTATAAAGAACCTAAAACTTTATAAATATCCTTATTTTAAATCTCAATTACATCAAAGTAGCATTAAGACACTAAACCATTCTAAGTTCAAAAATAGAGACATTTACATACATGCCACACAATTCTTTAAAAGGGATTTACATACATAAAATTTAAAACCCTAAATTTTACTTCTCTATCTCCTAAATTTAAATTTTTTTTTTCATTTAAACACTCAAATCTTTGTCTTGGCATACAAAATATCATCATCATTAATTTTTTAAAAATAATATACATATTTTCAAGAATAAATAATTTGACATTAATGTAGATATGAAAAATTAGATATTAGATATATAAATACGTAAGAATTGTGTCGTGTATATAAATATCCAAATAAATGAACGAGTAAAGTGTTAAAATACTTCCCTACTATTTACATGACACCGAAAATACTTCCCAATTATTTTAAAATTAAGCTTAAATGCTCTTCCATGGATATTATTTTGGCCACAATTTAGAGAAGATGAAGATTATTCTTCGATTAAAATGAGCCGATATAAATAATCGAAAACTAATTTTACAATTTACTCGTAAATAAATAAAAAACTCATGACACATGTTTGCCGGCCGAATCGAGACTCATATATAATTTTATAAGTGAAACACATTTCTATCACCATCAAAATTCCAAACATCTTCGGTTCATGGCTACATTATACGCTACAAATTCAAGGCCACATTAACCGTTACAGATCCAAAGCAGTGGCTTGCTCTCAGTTTGATTGGTAGATTGCTCAGCATTAGATGAAATACCCATAAAATTAAAGCATATTTCTATCACCGTCAAAATTCCAAAAATCTTCGGTTCATGGCTACATTATACGCTACAAATTCAAGGCCACATTAACCGTTACAGATCCAAAGCAGTGGCTTGCTGCTTTCATTTTAAAAAAAGCTACTAAGACCGACTATTACACCAACCTCCACATAACAAAGTTTCATGCATTAAAAATTGCCACTTGGCAATCCTTTTTATGCAGGGTAATAATCTGGGTGATAATTACGGTGCGTGAAATTCGAAAACACCCGCCTGCTTCTACCGCTTTCCCGCCAATTGTTCATCCCCTTCCTCATCCTTAAAAACCCTAGCAGCCTCGCTTCTCTTTTTCTCTAGTTCCTCTCTCTCTCTCTCTCTAAAAAATACCTCAGGCTCTCTCTCTTCAAACTGTTCCTTAATAGCTCCAATGAATCGGAGGGTAAGGAGCCCAACGAGGAAGGAGGTTGTGGCGGCCATGTCGGAGGAGAGGTTTCTACGATTCTTGAGGCCAGGAGCCCTCGCGCGGTTGCGGGATTCGAAGATCAGCGCCAGATCGCCGAGATCTGCGCTAAAGACTGCACCGATCGCCGTTTTTCGGTTTTCTCCGCCTTCTTCTCCGTCGGCTACCGCGGCTCCGCAACCTCACGATGGCGGCGATGGTGAGTTAATCCGTTTCTTTACCTCGAGGCCATGTGGACCGCGCAAACTTCAGCGGAAGAAGCTATCTGCTGCTAAGTACGTTTTCTTTTCGCCCCCAAGTCCGGATCCCTCTGATTCTGTTTTGGATGTGTTCAGCGTCGACCTTGTCGTTGCTCATTGAGTGGAATTTTATACTAGAAATAAAAAATAAAAGGTTGTAAATTGTTGTATTTCAAATTTTCATGTTTTCATTTATAGTTTTCTCACATTGAGGTTTTATTGTCCAGTTTCGTTGGCGAGGGACTTTAGAGACCTTTGTTTCGAATTGGTAGGGATTTTTAGAACATATATGAAAATTTCTACATTCCTGCAAGCTGAAATTCATCTTTTTTGAAGAAATTAATTTTATTGTGGAGATTGCCAGGAATCAATATTTTTATTTTTTTGAACAATCTTGAAGTTAGCAGCAGGTTTTTCGAATGCGTAATACCTATGAAATATATGATTGAAGAGTTAGGCAGCTAGAATTGTGTACATAACCTGTTAGAAAGTTTCTCCTCTTTGAATGACCAAACTTGATCTCATTTTGTTCTCATTATCTCAATGCCAGTAAGTGCTGTAGTTCGGTGCAATAATATTTTAGGGCTGTTTGGCTGCATGAAGGATTTAGTAAGTCCTTAAATTTGGCTTTCGCAACTCATGATGTATTAAATCTTAAAAATTATTTGGTATGACATGTTAATTCTGATTAAATGCTATGAATTTGTTTAACTTTTTTTTTTTATTAAATTGGGTTGGGTAGATAGAGAGATAAAAGACGGTGGGTGAGGGGAACAAAGAGATGCGAGACGGTGCGAAGAGTGAGAGAGAGATAAAGATAGTGAGAGAGGGTGGGGTAGAGCGAGAAGAATTTGAGCGAGAGAGGGGGAGGGAGGGAGGGGGAGAGAAAAGAAGTGAGAGAGATGGAGAGTGACAGGAAGGAAGGGAGGGAGAGATTGAGGAAGAATTTGTTTAGTCACATCTAATATAAAATGAGAAGGATATAAAATATTTCATCAAAAAATAGATCTATAATCACATGATAACATAAACATGTCCCTAAAAGAAACAATTAAATCTTATCTCCAAAAAAAAAATAAAAATTGAATCACCAACAAAATCTCTCATAATGGGTTGCATCTAGGAGATTTGATCAGATAAATAAAATCTTGAAAGCCTTAGGCCAAAAGAGGGCACAATTTTAGTAAAATAAATCATTGGACTACAGTAGGGATTTAATAGGAAGTAGAACAATAATAGAAAATCTTCTCAAGAGGTCAACATGAAAAACCAGTGCTAAAACTCTATAGTATATGTAGAGATTATAGAGACATTAAATTGTAAGAAAAAAAGAAATCCAAAGCAAAGATTGTATTGCTTATAGTAAATTAGCAAATACCAACATTCAAAAAACCGTTAAAGAGCAACAGAGTTTTATCCATAGAAACAAAAGTGGTGAGAATCCTCCATTGCAATAAAATTGAAATACCAAAGCAGAATAGTATCAGTTCTAAGAGGATCACAAGACATTATAATAGATGTGTTGCATCTATATTTGTCTTGGGAATCACACCCAATGTATACAACATAGGGCAAATAAAGAAATGGAGACAAAAAGAGAGAATGATATAGTGACCTAAGTCTCTTTTGGTTTTAGTACCCCTGTAGAGGGTTAGTCATCTATATTCTTTTCCAGGTTGACTTTCTTGGTACCCTTCGAAGGCCTTGTCGTTATTGGGTAGGGAATCATCTCCAGAATTTAGTTTGATCCAAACTTGAGGCACAAGTTTATGAGGCGAGAGTTTTGCGAGATGAGCCCTTACATTTTTGGTCTATTAGACGTCTTATCGCCGTTGTCGGCCACCATTTTAGGTACTTTCAGTTCCTCGAGTGTTGTTTCGATGTTAATGTGCATCAACTCCTTTAGTTCTTTGAGCATCGTTCGAACCTTTATAGATATACACATAATTAGCCAATATTTTCAATAACATTTTGTTAAATAATAGTTTATAAGAGTTAAAAGAAAAAGGTCCTTTATTATTTCTTTTTGTTGGTTCAATGTATTTGTTATAAGGGAAAATTTTCTTGAGTTCATTCCCACTCCACATTCGTGGGACCTCTTTCCTGTGTATGTGTTCAATTTATATGCTCTTGGGTGATTGTTTGATTGATAATGAATGGGTTAGTCCAAGTCTAGTCGATTTATTGACGGAATGCCCTCCGAGTTAATGGTTTGGCTTTCTTCATGACTAGGTCGCTGGGTGCAAACGCTCTCTCTCGAACATTTCCATTATAGTATCGACCAATTTTCCTTTTTTATTTCTTCATGTCAAAGGACTACATTGGTTCAATTTTCATCAAGTCAAGTGTGAGCTTCATCCATTCATCTTAGCCTTAGGCTAGTTGATGAGATTATCCTCGACAAGGAGGTCGTGACAATCGTCTGTCTATGGTGGTTATATTCCACTGACAATATTGCCTTCGTCCCGTGGGAAAACATGTAAAGAGTTTGCTCGGTTGTTGAGGATGATGTTGTTTGGATGACCTAGGAACCAACGAGAGTAACTCCGCCCAATTCCCATTTGCTCATTCAACTTTTTCTTAGCAAATTTAGAATTATTTTGTTAGTAACCTCTGTCTGTCCATTGATCCAGAAATGATGTACATTTATAAACTTTAAGTAGATTCCTTGACTTTGGCAGAAATTTCTTACTCTCTGGTCAGCAAATTATGTCCCATTTTTCCAAAAGATGATGTCTGTCCCGATGAAGTTCTGGAGGACCTCCATTGTAATCCATGTGAGCTCTTTCACTTCGATCGACTTTGAAAAGTAGTTCGCAAGACTAAGAGGAATTTTTGTTGGCCTTTTGATGAAGGAAACAGTCCGAGGATGGCAATCCCCTAGATGGACAAAGGCTAGGGATTGGCAATCTACTATAGTTTATGGGTTGACTGCTGTTGTAATGAAGCATACTTTTAACATTGCTCGCATCTTTTGGAAAAATCCTCTTCATCATATATGAGAGTCAATCAGAAGTCTTGTCGTTGAATCTGAAGTGCCATTGTTCTCTCTCTGGAGTGACTGCCACATTCACTAGAGTGCTCCTCTCGGAGGATTTCTTTCGCTTCATTTTCCTTGACGCATCTCAAGAAGAGTGAGGGGGCCTACATTTGGAAAGTCTCAATTTAATCATGAGATGGAACTTGAATCTTCTTGGATTAGTGGTTTGCTCGGGAATTTTTTTCGGTTGCTAGGTGTTGTATATGAGGATCCATCCAACTCAGTGTGCTTTCGACTTCCATCTCCATGACTTTAAGTTCCTCAATGGCTGACTGAAAAAGCTTCTGCGGCGTTTCTTCTCCCAAGAAAATGCTTTTAGATAGAAGGTCAGTCACTTAATTTTCTCTCTACTGACATGTTCTATTTTGAAGTCTCCGAACTTACATATCTCAGCCTTCTTTTTGTTCATGTACTTGGCCATCATTTTGTTTCTAACCTCGAACTCTTCGGTGAATTGATTCCCCACCAACTGAGAATATGATTTCACTAGGAGATGTCCGACGCCCATTTTGTATGTTAGACGTAGGCCAGCAATCAACGCCTTGAACTCTGCCTGATTGTTGGTGACTTCAAACTTGAGGACATTCGAATGATAAAGATGCTCCCCAGTCGAGCAGCCTAATGCTAGTTTGATTCCTGCTCTTGCTTGACTCAAGGCTCCATTGATGTGCAACATCCAAGTTCGATCGTTAGTGTCAATTTCTTCTCTCGACTTGCCTTGTCCAGAAAAGTCAGCCAGAAAGTTCACGATAGCTTGAGCTTTAATCGTTGTCTGGGGGATGTAGGTGATAATATATTTGTTGAGCTACATAATCCATTTAAGGAATTGATCAACATATTTTGGTCGAGTGAGTATGGATTTGAGGGGATGGTTAGTGATGATTTTAATTAGATGTGTCTAGAAATATTTCTGGAACTTGTGAACAGAGATAATTAGAGTAATCATTAGTTTTCCAAGATCGGGTACCTAACTTCGGTGCCTCTAAGGATATGATTAATGTAATAAATTGAGAATTATTTTCTCAGCTCCTCTCAGATCAAGACTGAGCTGATAGTCTCTAGCATAACTCCCAAGTACAGAGAGAGTTCTTCATTCGGTTTTTCTTAGTGTTTTGAAGAACGCTGCATATTTATCGCCTAACTTGAAATGAATCGACTGAGCACTGTTATTCGACTGTTCAACTTCTGCACCTTCTTAGCATTTTGGAGAGAAGACATGTTTAACAGGCTCATATTTTTTTTGGGTTTGCCTTGATAGCTTCGGATGGAAGGTGGTATTCAAGGAATTTGTCAGTTGAACTTCTAATTTGCCTTTTTAGTACATTTAGCCTCTTTTTCTAGTGTTTGGAAGGTTTTTTTTTTTTTATGTCATTAACATGTTCATCCAACTGACTCTTAACTAACGCATCATTCAGTACATTTAGCCTCTTTTTCTCGTGTTTGGAAGGTTTTCTTTTATGTCATTAACGTGTTCATCCAACTGACTCTTAACTAACGCATCATTCACATACACCTCAATGTTTTTTTTTCCTTTTAGAGTAACAAAAATTACACCCATGAGATGTTTATAAGTTGCTACAGTGTTTTTAAGTGTTGGCGGGATGCATCTTTTTCTGATTTTAGTAGGAAAAAAATGTCGAAGAAGTTCATCACCGAATGACTTACCTGTCAAATATATCAAAGCATCAACCCTTGGCAAGGGGTAGTTGTGCTTTGGGCAGACAATGTACATGTTCGTGAAGTTCACCTATGTTCTCCATTTGACATTCAATTCTTGGACCATGACCACGTTTGAGATTCAGATTGGGTACTGTACCTCCCAAATGTAGCTGACCTCTTTATGCTTTCGCACCTCTTCGCGGATCGACTCGACCAATGTCATGGTTGAACAATTTATCACATATGTTATAATCTTTCGTCAAATTTATTATAGAGCATTTAACAAATTATTTGCTAAATAATAAATGAGTTTGCTTGTGAATATAAAAAAAAAATATTTTGGACTGTTTTAAGATTTGATTCATGTTTGAATTTATTTTCGAATTTAAAGAGACTTAATTGATCATGATTAAGTATTAATTAAATCAAGTTTGAATGCTTATACATTGGTTATAATCTTATGTAGAGTAATGATAATAAAAGAGTCACCAAGAAGTTTAACAAAGTATAAATTCTAAGAGAATGGGGGATTTTTTATTATTTCCTTGATTTTTTTTTATCACCACGTTTATTCTCAAAACTCAAATCATTATTAATCAGAGTGAATATAAATTTAGTTAAATCATGTCTTTAGAAAAAAGAAAGTTTCCCAAAAAAGTTTCCTGATGAGATCGTCTTATTTCTTCATTGTCTGCACACTGATTCGTGTCCATTTGAGATGAGAATTTTTTGAAACATTTTCATCAGTTATTTGTTGAGGTATTAAGTGGGTAATGCAGTGTTATGTTATATAAATAGTGAAATTTGGATAATAAATAGGTAAATGACATTATTTTATGGAGAAATTTTTTGATACGAAGTATGTATACTGCTCTACGTGCAGACTCTAGTAATATGTCATTATGTGTATTATATTGGGTCTACTTAAAAAAAATTAAAGTGAAACCGCAGAGATTATTTGAGAGGATTATTGGGAGTTATTGAGAATATTGATGCATTAACTCCAACAACGCCGTAATAACTCTTCAATAACCTCCGTGGTTCAACTCCAATAACTTCCCAATAATTTCTGCGGTTCTATTTCAATAACCCCCCCAACAATCTCCACGGTTTCCCGTAAATAATCTCACAATAAACTCCACGTGACGGCTTATTATTGGAAGTTGGTATGTATGTGAATCCTTTAGTATAAACGAGAAGATTTGTCGAGCTATCTTCTGCAAGTTTCAACGAGGTTATATTCTAATATAATTTAGATAGTTATATATACGATCACATAAGGCAAAATCTTGGAAGGGAAATAGTGGGTTGAGCAAGATTGTGAAAATTAGACTGGGCATCAAACCAGAAGAGGGAGGGCTTCAAGATCCATTGGTTCAATTGAGGTTGAATCGAATGACATAATAAATATAAAAATTAATTAAATATGAAATAACATAATAATGATATATTAATTAATAAGCAAATATTAATAAAATAAAATAAAATCTAAATTAATAAGTAACCCTAAAATTCTATTGATACTAAAATTTAATATATTAATATTAAATATACAATTTAATAAATTCCACATATTCAAATTTTAAATAATTTATCATAAATAATATAAATTATTGTCAAATTTAATAATAAGTTCCCTCTTGTACAATAAATGAGTTAAACCGCGTTGAGTTTGATTCAACTATTTTTTGACTTTTTTTTTAAAAAATATTTCAATGCATGTATTCATTCTGCATTTGTTAATATGCAATAAAAAATTAATTTAAGGAAATTTAACTTTACATGCATCATAACGGCATAAATTTAATAATAATTTTGAATAAATGCTGGTTAAAGTCCAAGCTAAAGCCGAAAAAGATTGATCAAAATCAACCCTTCATATTACACTCATTTTATAACACTCCAATGTCTAACAAAAAAAAAGGGGCATTTACATACATACCACCCAATTCCTATGTATTTACATATCTAACACCTAAACTTTATACCACCCAAATCATTTATTTCACATAAAAATTAACACTATTTTGGCATTTTAAAGAGTGCAATACATCTTTTCATTGCCTAAAGTGGTAATGTATGGAAAAATTGAAGTTCAGCTGCTAGATATGTAAATATATAGGAATTGAGTGGTATGTATGTCAATTTTCATGCATAGATTCTGATGTGATTTAGACACTAAAATATCATATAAATAAATATAACAATTTAAGCGTCAGATATATAAATACCTTGAAATTTTGCAGCAAAACAGAAATCCCCCAACAATCAACCATGATGAATGATGAATGATGAATGATGAATGATGAATGGAAAAAAACTCAGCATTGCAATTGTTTAAATTCAGGCAGCTGCATTTTTCTTCGCAGGGTTGTAAGCACTGAAATCACCGAAATCCCGCCTTCCACTGCCATAATGTTAGTCCATTAGAACAAGGAAATCATGATAATTAGACTAAAAGTATTTAAATTGTAATTAAAGTTGATCATTCATATTAGCAAATTAAGCTAAATAATCTCTGATAGAATGCTGAATTGAAACAGTAAGTGAGAAAGATTTACATACATATCACTCAATTCTTCCAAATTCATATATCTAACATTTAAAATTTAATATATATATATATGCCACCTTACATATGCATTAAAAGGTGTATTCACCTCTTAATAGCGGAAAATATTTGTATTTTTATGTTATTTGAAGAATTATGTTTGTAATTTAATTATGCAAAGTTCAGGAACAATTTTTGCAAACTGCAAAGTTATTCCATGTCTTAAATCGGCAGTTTAACATGTGTGGCTATCTGTTATTTTTATTTTTTTCGTCATTCATTCAATACTAAACAGAATGCTCTGTGCAGGAATGGACTATTCTTTGTCTTCATTTGAATTTTGTGTGCTTACATATCATAATGAATCTACCTCTAGTCCTAAGATTGAATATATTAACATTTGGTTCTGGATTTGTGAGAATAATTTTTTTGAAAGCTTATAAGAAAAAATTATAATACAGTGAAACTTGATGCCTAAAATTAGTGATCGGACTGTCTGACTCATCACTGTAGTTAGAACTTGTATGGCTTGAATTCTATTTAAAATTTTCATGTAGAAACTGAACATTAGCCTAATTTCTTGCCATTAGCTGAATTTCATGTTCATTAGATTTTTCATATTACAATGAGAGCTAAAATTTTGGTTTTTTTAATATAAGATGCAATATCTCTGGTTCTTTAGTGCAAATTATCTGATGATACACATATCTATTGTGCTTCTCTATGTTATACACATAAAGTTACGTTATTTTTGTTTTCTAATTTGTTCGAGGACAATGCACATAATGTGATGCTCATTAATTTTAAACAATATCTGACTAGATGAAGTCGTCAAGTTCATTACAATTAAAAGGTCTGAAGCAATTTTTTTGGCTATTTATTAGCTTAATGTTGTAATTTTTGTAGAAGCAATGACTAGTCAATCTCAAAGTAAATCTAATAGTTCCACAAGTTAATCTCATATTGATGTAGCACCAACTCCTATTGAGAGTGGATGAAATTGTAGTAAATGAGGATAAGAAAGGTAAAAGACAAAGATCAGTGGTATGAAACTACTTCACTGAAATATCAGCAATAGAATAGAAAAATTATACAGAAGTGAAAATGCAATTATTGTGTGAAGGCTTATGTGAAATAAAAGACTAAAACCGCATCTCAAATGAGAATACATTTTAAGGCAAATCACTATAGTAAAGCTGAAGGCAGGGATGAAAAGTAAAAACTCTTTGAACCAACAGCCGAGGATATCAACGAGATTGAATCTATTACAGCTTTATGTGTTTCATATGCAAATAAACATAGTAAAATAAAAAAACATTGTGGCTAAGATGATCATTGTGCACGACTATCCCTTCATGAGAGTCGAGTATTTATGGTTTAATATTCTGATGAAATTAATGAATCCAAACTACCGCAGAATTTCAAGGTTTGCTATCAAAGAAGAGTGCATGAAAGTGTTCGAAGTACAAAAAGAAACATTAAAAAAAAATTGTAACTAGTTGGGACAGTTTAACTCACTAGCGATTGTTGGACATCAAGCCAAACAGTTGGTTATATATGTCTTATTGTGCACTATATTAGTTCTAATTAGAAACTACATTGCAGGATAAATAATTTTACTGATTTAGATCCTCCACATTGCGGAGCTATGATATCTGAAGCAATTTCTGAAAGTTTGTTGTAATGGGGTTACAAAATAAAGTTAGCACGATTACTTTACATAATGCATCATCCAATGATGTGGCATCTAGAAATTTGAAAGGGTTGTTTACTATAAGATCCGATTTTCTTATTATGAAAGATTTTTTCATCTTCGTTGGGCCGCTCATATTTTAAACTTAATGGTGCAAGATGAGTTAAAATAAGATGGTAAGGTGATTGAAAAAGTTAGAGAGTCAATCCTTTTTATAAAACGATTCCCGAGTCACTTACATAAATCTGGTGAGATTGCGAAATATATTAATTTGTCCACAACAAAGTCATTATGCATTGATGTGCTCACAAGTTAGACACTAAATACAAATTACTAGACTTTGGATTTTATTTTGATGTCGTCTTCCCTGAATATGCTTTGCGAGATCTTAATTATGCATGGTTGCCATCTAAGGATGATTGGAATCAATTTGATAAGATGAAAGGATTTCTTCATATTTTTTCACCAAATACAACAAACAACAACAACAACAACAACAAAGCCTTAATCCCACTACGTGGAGTCGGCTACATGAATCCTTTTTCTCCATTGCGTCCTATTTAGTGTCATATTTGCATTTAGTTCTAGTAAATTAAGATCATTTTTAATACAATAAGCCCAAGTCTTCCTAGGTCTACCTCTGCCTTTCTTAACACAAGTCGAATTTAAAACATCTACTCTCCTAATCAGATCATCTAATGGTCGACGTTTAATATGACCAAACCACTAAGGCGACTTTCTCTAATGTTGTCTGTCACAGGAGCTACGCCAACCCTATCACGAATATATTCATTCCGCATTTTGTCTCTAAGTGTAAAGCCACTCATCCACCTAATCATTCTCATCTCGGCAACACTTAACTTATTATTATGCTTCTCTTTTAAAGGCCAACATTCAGCGCCATAGAGCATTGCAGGTCTCACAACCATCTTATAAAATTTTCCTTTCAGTCTTAGCGGTACTTTTCTATCACACAAAAGGCCCGAAGCATTCCTCCACTTCAACCAACCAACTTGAATTCTACTATTAACATCCCCATCTAGATCACCATCGCTTTGGACAACGGACCCAAGATATCTAAATCGTTCACACCTTTTAATAATTTGATCACCCAAAGTCACACTTCTGTCACTAGAGCTATTACTACTAAAATTACATTCCATGTATTCAGTTTAGTTCTACTTAAGCGAAGGCCTTTAGACTCCAATGTAGACCTCCATAATTCAAGTTT